CAGAGCTTTAAATTATTTCTGGATGCAAAACATATTACATTTTTACCAGCCAACATCAGAAACGGAGAACGGTAATCTTCCTGGGCTTGTATTTCCTGAGATTAGTCTAACCTGAATGCAGAAACCTGATACAGAAAAGTTGTTTTTCCAATATGCTTCCACCCACAGCAGTAAGAGTGCTGCTAACATAATTAAGACTTACTTGAAAAAAAAAGATGGTTCCAGACGAAAGTAGACTATGCAGCTCAAACATCTCCCACAGAGACCAAAGCCTCGGCCATGACTGTTTGCAAATCACCCCAATCAGAAGACTCACCTGTGTCTGCAGCCAGCCTTAAAGAACCAGCATTTCATCTGCACAATAAAATGTAAAGATTTCCCCAAAGCACAACAACATAAACACAAATTTCAAGTGCTTTTGTACCATGACTAATGTAGAATCCAATCTCACTCACCTTTTAAAGAGTCTTATTTGTTCTGTGGACAGATAAAAATGTTTTGAAAGGGCTTAGGACACATTGCAGAAACATTGCAGTATTTAATGGCTTATTCTCTTTCTGGTGCCAGATACACATCCCTGTTTGCTAAAGCCCACATTATTCTAGCTGCACAGTCATAATACACGTATCAATTTGACACACTCAGTAAAATTCTCCAAGCACTCTGTTTTTGGACTTAATTGGAAAATTTGCATCAGCAAGTATTGTCAGCTCTAGCAGACAGCATCCTGAAGCGAGTCCTTTCTCGGTAAGAATTCTTATTACTGGAGTGTGTCTTGGTTCTCTTCCAAATGCCACCGCATTCACTCAGAATCTCAGCATGCTTTAGATAGGTTCCTATAATCATATCATGCCATACAATCATAGGATCACAGGATAACACTGACTGAAAGGAAGCTCAAGAGGTCCCCTTCCCCTGCTCAAAGCAGGGGTAGCTGTGAGCTCAGACCAGGCTGCTCAAGGCTTGCTCTAGTTGCAGGGATGAAAAGCACAGTCGAATCCTTACCTCTGTCCCAGGGCAGACGAGGTAAGCTGTTGGGGGCATATTAGTGCAACATAACCCTGATGTAGAAGGTGGCATAGAGAAGTGTTCTAGCTTCTTCAGGTTTTCATTGTTGGTCATTTTAATCAAGACTCCTGGTAATTCATGTAATTCAAGGACAGACAGGGGAGATGAGGAGGTCTTGTTGCCCTCTATGTCAATTACCAGCTGGAGTGCATCGAGCTCTGCCTGTGGATCGATGAGGAGCCAACCAAGAGCTTATAGGTCAGGATTAAAGGGAGGGCAGGGACAAGGGGACATTATAGCTGGGGTCTGCTACATGCCACCTGACCTAGATGACCAAGTGGATGAAGCCCTCTATAGACAGATAGGAGTGGCCTCGTGTTCAGAGGCCCTGGTTCTCATGGGGGACTTCAACCACTATTGGAGGAACAACACAGCAGGGCACGAGCAATCCAGGAAGTTCTTGGAATGCATCGATGACAACTTCCTTCTCCAAGTGGTAGAGGAGCCAACAAGGAGAGGAGCTAAGCTGGACCTTGTCCTTACCAACAAGGAAGGGCTGGTGGGGGATGTCAAGCTCACGGGTAGCCTCGGCTGTAGTGATCACGAAATTGTAGCATTCAAGATCCTCAGGGCAGCAAAGGGGGAGCACAGCAAGCTCACTACCATGGACTTCAGGAGAGCAGACTTTGGCCTCTTCAGGGAACTGCTTGGTAGGGTACCATGGGATAAAGCACTGAAGGGCAGAGGAGCCCAGGGAACCTGGCTAATATTCAATGATCACCTCCTCCAAGCTCAGGAGTGGTGCATCCCAACAAAGAGGAAGTCAAGCAAAAATGCCAGGAGGCCTGCATGGATGAACAGAAGCTCCTGGACACACTCAAAAGCAAAAAGGAGGCCTACAGAGGGTGGAAGCAAGGACAGGTAGCCTGGGAGGAATACAGAGAAACTGTCCGAGCAACCAGGGATCAGGCTAGGAAAGCTAAAGCCCAGACAGAATTAAATCTGGCCAGGGACATCAAGGACAACAAGAAAAACTTCTACACGTACGTCAGTGACAAAAAGAAGACTAGAGAAAATGTGGGCCCACTCAGGAAAGAAATGGGAGACCTGATCACTTGGGATATGGCGAAGGCTGAGGTACTCAACAACTTTTTTGCCTCAGTCTTCACTGGCAAGGGCTCTAACTATACCACCCAAGACATAGAAGGCAAAGGCAGGGACTGTGAGAAGGAAGAACCGCCCACTGAATGTGAAGATCAAGTACAAGACCACCTAAGGAACCTGAAGTACATGAGTCCATGGGACCTAACGAGATGCATCCGCAGGTCCCGAGGGAACTGGTAGATGAAATTGCCAAGCCACTTTCCATTATATTTGAAAAGTTGTGGCAGTCTGGTGAAATTCCCACTGACTGGAAAAGGGGAATTTTCATTTCATTTTCCCATTTTCAAAAAGGGAAAAAAAGAAAGACCCATGAAGCTACAGGCCAGTCAGTCTCACCTCTGTGCCTGGCAAGATCATAGAGCAGATCTTCCTGGAAATTCTGCTAAGGCACGTGGAAAATGAAGTGGTGATTGGTTGGTTGATGAAGGAAGAGCAACTGACATCATCTACATGGATTTGTGCAAAACATTTGACACTGTCCCACACAATATCCTGGTCTCTAAATTTGATTTGGAGAAATTGATGGACCATCCATTTGGAGAATGGATGGATCAATCAGTGGAGAAGGCACCCACTGGATGGCTGCACTCAAAGAGTTGTAGTAAATGGCTTGATATCTAAGTGGAAACCAATGACAAGTGGCATTGCCAGGGATCGGTGTGGGGACTGGTGCAGTTCAACATCTTTGACGACATGGACAGTGGGATTGAGTGCACCCCCAGCAAGTTTGCCAACGACGCCGAGCTGCATGGAGCGGTCAACATGCTGGAGGGGAGGGATGCCATCCAGAGGGATGTTGAGAGGTTTGAGAGGTGGGCCTGTGCAAACCTCGTGAAGTTCAACAAGACCAAGTGCAAGGTCCTGCATATGGGTTGGGGCAATCCCAAGCACAAATACAGGCCGGGCAGAGAATGGATTGAGAGCAGCCCTGAGGAGAAGGACTTGGGGGTATTGGTTGATGAGAAGATCAACATGACCCAGCAATGCGCGCTCACAGCCCAGAAAGCCAACTGTATGCTGGGCTATGTCAAAAGAAGTGAGGCCAGCAGGTCAAGGGAGGTGATTCTGCCTCTCTACTCCCCTCTCGTGAGACACCACCTGGAGTACTGCATCCAGCTCTGGAGTCCTCAGTAGAAGAAGGATGTGGACCTGTTGGAGGAGGTCCAGAGGACGGCTACGAAGATGATCAGAGGGCTGGAGCACCTCTCCTACGAAGACAGGCTAAGAGAGTTGGGGTTGTTCAGCCTGGAGAAGAAAAGGCTTCTGGGAAGGCCTTATAGTGGCCTTCCAGTATCTGAAGGGGACCTACAGGAAAAGTGGGGAGGGACTTTTTACAAGGGCATGTACTGATAGGACGAGGGGGAATGGCTTCAAACTGGAAGAAGGTAGATTTAGATTAGATAGCACGAAGACATTTTTCACTCTGAGGCTGGTGAGGCACTGGAACAGGTTGCCCAGGGAAGCTGTGGATGCCCCATCCCTGGAAGTGTTCAAGGCCAAGTTGGATGGGACTTTGAGCAACCTGGTCTAGTGGGAGGTGTCCCTGCCCATGGCAGGGGGTGGAACTACACGATCTTTAAGGTCCCTTCCAGCCTAAACCATTCCATGAAATCTCCCAAAGAAGTATATTTTGGATTTTTTCTGAGGAACTGCAGAAAAGGCTTATTTTTTTCCACAGGAAGACATATAATTCAGTTAGGTTTCTTTATTAAACTTCATAATATATGCTTATAAAATGACAGTGGGGACGCATATATTGTATATTCATGTTCTCATTTCAGCTCTGGCTGAAGTATTTGGTATCTATACGATTGACATTTTGATTCCCAAATGCATCTGATAAGCTTCCTGCAAAGATACATGTACTTTTTTCTAGCTATTCAAATAATCCAACCAGTTGGCCCACTCCATAATTACTGTAATGGTCTTTTAATTCTTATTGGGAGTAGCAGATAATTTATATTCTTGTTTGGAGAGAAATCTGAAAAGTCATTTACTTACATAGACATTTTGACTGAAACTTTTAGCTTGCAAGGCTATTAAGCATCATCCTTTTTTTTTCCTTAGCTATAAGGATATTTTGTGCATGGTTGAGTAACCCAGAACGGAATTTAATACCTTCCTGTCAAAACACTCTATCAGCATTTAATTTTCCTCTTGTTTATTATATCTCCATAATAACAACTAAGTGGTATCTTGTGTGTGAGGTGTTCTTTGTATATATTACTACAGAGAGTATAGCAGTTGTATGCACTAATAGAGATCTAGCAAATCCTAATATTAGGTTTTCTGAAAAAAACCCCACTCAGTTTCCATCCCTATTTCCATCACTAATTTACCAGCACAGGATATCATGTATGCTTTCTTCTTTAGTCACATTGAAATGCCATCTGAGTAAACGATACTTAGACTAATTACTTCTGAGCAATATAAAATAAACACATTAACTTATTAATAACATATATAAATAACATAAATAACACTTATTTAATGTGTTAATGAAAAATTAAGTTTCTTTATTGCTTTTTCTTCAGTACAGTTGACAAAACCTCTTGCCATATTTTAAAACAGTGTAAGAATTAATTGGCTCCCCATGCAAAACAAAGTAAGGTACCAAGCAGTATTCAATCAACAGAGAAAGCCTGCTTTATGGAAGAAAAATCCTTTGAATGTAACATAATAAAAAAATATAACCCTGATCCAATATATGCCTGAACCTTAAAAGTTATGGCTACAGAGACGCTCTGTTTCTACGAAAACATCTGCTGTTTGTTTCTAAGAAAATATCTGCTGTTTTGTCCATTGTCAAAGAAAGGATGGACTGTGCACTATGTGCTTTTCTGTTTTGTATGACATTTGTAGTTCTTCTTTCTCAGTGTATCCCAATACAATATGTGCTCATTGGTTCCAATGTGGTGAGATGTAATTATATTATTATACAGACAAGGAGAAAATGGGACCTTGTATATGTTAAACAATGACTGTCTAGGTGGAGGTACTATTTCTATTCCCTTTGCATTAAGACAGAGCCCTACATAAACGTCTTCTAAATGTATACAATTTATTGTTACAGAAGCACTGATAATCTTTGAAGCCAGGTCTCCGGAAAAGACGTAGCCAGTTCCTGAACAAAAAGGAGGGTAATTGGCACCTGGGTATTCTTCTTCTGATATGTACCATTTATTATTTTGATTTCGAATAGGCTTATGCCCTTTCATAAGACAGCCTGTGAAGTAATTTTGTGGAGGAGGTGAAAGAGGCCTGAGCAACTTTTCTATTAGGTATATTGTATTAACAAAAACATCACTGTCTGTCTTCATAACAAAGCTTGCGCCACTGCAGTAAGAGGCAACCCACTTCATGCCCATCAAAGTTTTAAGAGTTAAGTTATGGTAAGTGTCCAGGAAGTCCTGTTGAATAATATCACGATATTGCTCACTTTCTCTCAGTACGACGTCATTTGGACCTTTGCTCTCGACACCCAGCATAAACAACCGAACAACCTCAACTCCTTGAACCACAGATTCATTTCCCCAACTGTTTCTGATGGAATTTCTATGATTAATTTCAGCAGCTGTAGTTGCTATTAGCAATATCAAGAAAGGTGTTTTATCTTTACACTTATCTTTTTCATTAATAATGAATTGAAATGACTGTGTTGAAATGGATCTAGTTTTATTCCCATTTTTTTCATTTTCAACTGGTAGGCTTCCATTTTCTTTCCATATGAATTTTTTAAAATTTGAAATAATGTTTTTATGTAAAATATTTTCACCTTTCATCTGAAGATTATCATACCCTTTGGTAAAAAGCATGTCTTTTTCTTCTATGTTATCATTGTTTTGAACTTCACTTTCCGTTAGAACAGCATGGTGATTAGAATTAAAAAAATAAAAACCCAAATACACTGCTGCAAAAAAGATGGAGGCAATCAGGAAAACATTTCTCTTGGCACAGTCCCAAGGACAGGTGAAGAATCCACTACAGTAGGTCATGTTGGCAGCTTTGAGAAGATGCATAAAAAGCTATTTTTTAATTGGACAAATATTTTGTCAGATGAGCAGTTAATTTGTAATTGTTTTCCTCTGCAGCACAGGAAGATAAAAGCAACCTGCAGGCTTCTGATCCTTCAGGATTCCTGTTTTTTTAATTAAAAGTATCCCATTATTTCATCTTGGAATAAATTGTAAAAATTTTCACAGAAGCAAAAAAACCCAACAACTTTCAAATAAACTCATAATTTCATTTTCAGGCATTTCTTCCTAAGAGAAATACAGTAATAAATAAATACATTATTAAAAATATTAATTTTCTCAGAACAGAGCTTATTCAACTATATATTTAGATGTTGGATTATATGTAAAATATAAATGTGGATTTATTCCAATATTACAATCAACCTTTTAATATTTTTATATATCCATGCAAAATACCAGTCAACTTTTCAATACGGTTGTCTTCAATACTAATAGCAGGGTCCTGAAGACATAACAGCTATGGTAGAATGTAGAATACATATTCTATTTCAAAAGCATATGTTTATTAAAACATGCTAAAAAGATACACATTTAAAGTAAAGATTGTAACTGCTATTCCAATTGCTACAACACCCCTTTCTAGGTTATAAAAATAGAAGAAAGATAGCGTAACGTCATGTAAGTTTTACAAAATGTTCTAGTGTAATTGAATAATCCAAAGCTAATGAAGGATTATGATTGATTGTGGATTCACAGCCTTGCGGCCTATTGTGATAAATCACATGGCAGGTACCTTTGGCCATTGGAAAGTTACGTATGTGGTTGAAAGTGATTGTGTGGGCTATATCAAATGTTAATGCAGACAGAGAGGTAGCATTTCCAGATGCGAACTTAACCATCAAACAATAGGTGTCTGATATGAGATGAAGTGCCACCTGCCAGACTCTACCGCTCTAAACAATACTTAAGACAACTGGCTTAGGCTAGATCCATATTTTTTAAATGGCTTCAACTGAATGAGTTGAATCTCATCCTTCCAGACTGCAACAACAGGTAAAATATAAATACTAGCACAATGAAAATACTGTAGCTTTGCGTATTTTTTCGTGATTCCCATAATAGTTAAATTCTGGCTTCCTTCAACTAAATGATACAGAAACTTATCTAAGTCTTGGAGATGCACCACAGTTTGCAGGGAGAGGGAGATAATCAGGTGTCCAACACACCACAAACTGGTAACACCCAAGAATGCTGTCTGGAAAAAAGTGCAACTGCATCGAGCTGCTTTACTCAAACTTGTCTCTGAAGGATTCTCTACATGTATTCCAAAGTGAGCTGCAAAAGTATATTAAGTCGGGGTTTTTCAAATTTTTTGTGCCAAAACACTACTTGACAGATAAAATGTGTAGATCACAATCAAACAGCAAAATTCAACACTTCTTACCATCATCTTTGAAAGTGCAGATTCATCCCAGTCATACAACCATGGTATTTTTGGAATAGATTCTTCAGTTGTTTCTTGCTGCTTCACAAAGAAATGACAGAGATTTAGAAGGACTGAAATAGAGTCAGGGATCCTATCTCTGTGCCCATGGAGAACCTGAGGACAAGCTTACAGGCCGCTGAGGTTCTGTCCTAAGTCTTTTCCAGAGGTATTATTAACTAACACAAAGGAAAACACACCAGGACATTCACTCTTCTGTTTTAAAGAGAAAAAACACTCTGTCACTTTTAGCAATTAAAAGACAGTCTATAAAACGAGACTGGATGTAACCATTTTAGAATATGCAATAGAAATGTGAACTAAGAAATGAATTTATGCTCAGTTATAATTTAATCTGGATAAAATAGAATCATAGAATACCAGGTTGGAAGGGACCTCAAGGATTGTCTGGTCCAACCTTTCCTGGGAAAAGCATGGTTTAGACAATGTTAATTAACCTGAATGCAAATGTGTGGTGGACTATCCTTGGCCCGTATCCAAACACCCATCTGGCTGCTCACCCACTTCCCCCCTCCTCAACAGGACAAGGGGAGAAAATAGGATGAAAAAGCTTACTGGTAAAGATAAAGGCAGGGAGATCACTTACCAGATACTGTGAAGGGCAAAACAAACTTGAGGAAAAATAATATAATTTATTGCTAATTAAAATACATTTGGATAGTAAGAATCAAAGACAAAAATGAAAACAATCCCCCCACTCGCGTCTTTTCCTGGGGTCAGCTTAACTCCTTTACCTGCCCCCCCCAGCAGCAGAAGGGGATTGGGCATTATTGCCCCACTCACGTCTTTCCCTGGGGTCAACTTAACTCCTTTGCCTGCCCCCCCCGCCCCAGCAGCAGAAGGGGATTGGGCATTACGGTTCCTACCTGCTCCTCCTCCTGTTCAGAAAAATCTGCTCCAGTGTGAGCTCTCCAAGGGCCACAGTTCCTTCAGGAAATATCCAATTGCTCTTGGTTTGAGAGAAAAAGGGTATAAACACATTCTATTATAAACTGGTCAGTAGTTCAACTAATGCAGCTCACGTATGATACACCCATAAAATATTAAGAATACAGTGAGTAATGGCTTAGCTCTAACAATCTTCCTTCTCATGTTTTTAATTCTTTAGAAACTCTGTATTTTGCCAAATTAACATTTTAATTATCCAGGAGCAGAAACCCAAAGTAAATATAAAACAATATAAGAAAGAATGTAGGCAATACCACTTCAGAGGGTGAGAGGCATTTCTGTATCCGCTAATTGCTCTGCTGCTATTTAAAATGTAAGAACTTCAGCACATGAAACTATGAGCGCAAAAGATGATTTTCAATGTTATAAGTGTACTTCTGCATGGCAATTTTCTTGATTATGCTAAAAACATTTTGTCAAATTCTATTTTTACTACTTTTGATTTTAACATTGCAATTCTGTTAGATTAAATCCTGATTCCATTGTGGAAAGAACAGGAACTTCTAAGAAAACTTTTCCAACAGGTAGCTAAAATATCTATTGTTTCAAGTTTGATAGAGTTATTACAAGATTAGCAGAGAATTCATGTTGCAGAAAAGCAAACAGTACTTGTCTCTGAAAAATTAATTACAGTTTATCTTGCTTACAACTTTTAAAAATGCCAAGAAGCTCTCAAAATACAGTCCTCTTTTTCTATTAAAATTCTTCCCAGGACTAAAAAAGAAACATACTTGGAAAATAAATTCTTACCCACAATAATTACCCATAGTATTAAACCAAAACAATTAGAATTCATGGACGTTATTTTTCTAAAACCAAATGTATAGCGAAGTTGGAATAATAGCTCCCACGTACATTAAGTTGCCTCAGTGACACATTGATTATTCCCATACACAAGAATTGAACTACAGTCAGAATTTAACATTACATCAGTCAGATATGATGGAAGAAGGCAGAATTAGGCCTTATTAAAATGAAAAAGGAAGAAAAAGAAGAGTAGAAAGGAATAGAGAAAAACAGAAAAGGAATTAGAAAAAAAGAAAGGAGGTGAATATGATACTTTCTGTTGCCACTCCTGTTCGTTATCTTTTTCATATTCATTTAAAAAAGACAGAACTGACAGCTCATAGTTGAAAATCTACTTCACCAGGTTGTAATTCTACCCAGTCTCATCCCAGATTTTTGGAAGAATTTCAAAACAAGACAAACCAACCCTTCGCATTCTAGCAATGTTTTGATATATTCCCAGCTTCTTGAAGTAATGAGTTTTAAAGTCCAGTCCTTTCAAGGTGGTCACACAAGTTTCAAAGTAATCTTTTGAGAAAATGATACATGTCTTTGAAGATGCAAACTAAAGGTTGCCAGAAAGCATGAGATAGCTAATTTAATTTAAAACTGCCAGTTGATAAACAGATCACAGTATCCACCCACCTAAAATAAAGGCAGCCTATCCTGGAGAGCGGCTCTGCTCAGGGCTTTGCCGTCCCCTTGCAGTCCCGGCTCAGCAGGGAAAGCAGTCTTTTGTGAAGACTAGATTGTAAAAAGTCCCAATCTCTCCCTCCTGCTTGATCTGTAAGAAGTCCCAGGAGTTATATACCTATATTTAATATCAAACCTACGTACTACAGTATTTGGAGGAATAATTTGGGCATCTCAGTAACACTGCTCTCAGTGGTTCTAAAGAGAAGCAGGGATATTGCAGTTTCTGTCTCTGAAGCAAGCTCTACTAATTTATTCTTGGGTTACAGGTGAAAAAAAGCTTTCTTAAAGGCACACAAGGACCAGAGACAGTTAATTCTACTCCCTTTTATTAGCACCATTTGGCCTCCCAGAGAATCCAGGCTATTCTAAACTATCGTTTACACATAAAAACTCATCCAAATGCACACTGCTGAGGTTTGAGTTGAATCGGTAGTGGGGAGACAGAAGTGAGGAAGAAAAAAATTTTTGTCTTGGTATGTATTGTTGAAAAGATCTGCACCAGTTATTTCACAATTTGAAATAAGGTTTTATATTGCATAAATGACTTAGTACGTGTGTCTTTAAAACCACTTTCTCTTACAATGATTATAGCAATTTCAACAGCAAATGGCTTAATAAACTGAAGAGAATCAAGCACTTTAAAGAAAACACTGAAGAAGTATATTAATAATACTTTGAGTTAATCTCATCAGAATGCTACTTTTGCACAGGAACAATATTTACTATTTTCACTGGAACATTTTTTAAACTTTTTTTTTTTTTTTATAACCAGGAATATGTGAAAAACTGAAGAAGAATTTTAGATTCTCTTTCTTTCCATAAGTGCAGTACGGATTTAAAAATAGTCTGAAAGGAGAATTTAACAGCAACAGTTGTCTTAGGGTCTGCTTGTCTCTAGTTAGCTGCCATATCAATTTTTCTTAAAGCATACATGGAAATGTGGATGCTAAACATTTAATCACATATAAACAGTACAATTCCCCGTTTTTATGCAAGTGGAGTGCAATTCTTACATGTAAAAATTTGTCATGGGACAAAAAGGGAAAACACTGCATGTGTGGAGCCAAGAACTTTCTATTAATCT